CAATAGTATATCCTGAAGCTATAAAACATTATAGGCAGTCCTGACTTTGCATAGTAGTACTGGACCACATAAATGATTGTGCAAACTTTTAACTATGGGAAACAATCTTATTAATCAATAGGAAAAAATTATAATTGCTCAATGGCCTTTGAATTGTTCAATGTGAAGAAGCAATGTTAATTTTCTCAAAATATTTAAAACTCTACTATTGTCCATTATAAATGCAGAGGGGAATGAAAAATATAAGCTAGTATTTCTTTAGCATTATAGTAGAGCACTAAAGTCCTAAAAGTTAAAACACTAGAACAATTGAAAACCACTGTTGGTTTTGGTTCGTTTTTGGTAAATATCTTTTGATCAGGAGTAGTCTTTTTATCATATAATGATGACAAAGAATGAGCATCTTTTGATGGCCTGGGTAACTAACATTCATTTGGATCCATAACAGTATGGATCAACTGCCAACATTTTATTCTTTGTGTTATCAAGGATAGGCAATATCTAAACTTCTTTATATTTGATTTTAGGTTTATTTCCAGTATTACCAAGTAGACATCTTTCCCAATCATTGAAGCCTTTTGCTGTAAGTTTACAGGAATACTGCCCCATCATACAAAACAACAAGTTTGTGATGGATCAAATGTTTTAAGGAAGGTCAGGTAGATCTGAAGATGAATGCTAAGTACAGCTCAAAAGGATGCAGCAATTGTATTTTGGGATTTCATAGGGGAAATCTGGGTATTTTCTCAAAGGACACTCGACAATGGTGGAAAAAAGGGGTAGGGGGCTTTAAAGAAAACTGAAAACACTGAACTGGTAAGAAAATGGCCAGGAAAGTGGTTTCAGTAAATTATTTTCCGTCACCACAATGCAGCTGCACCTTCCCTGGTGGTAGCAAGAGCTGTTCTACAAGAATTTCCTTGGAAAATTTTACCCGATAGCCGTCACCTTGCCCCTTCAGACTTTTTTGCCCAAAACTCAAAAAATATTTAAAAGGAACACAATTTGAGCTTCTTGAGTACGCCAAAATTGCCATTTTCACATAGTATGAAGCAAGTAGTGCTAAATTATTTAAGGAAAAGTATTTTTTTAAAAGCCCACTGTCGTTGAGTTGATACCAACTCATACTATAGGACAAAGTTGAGGCTGTAAATCTTTATTAGGACAGCCTCCTCTTTCTCCCATGGAATGGCTGGTGGGTTTGAAAAACCAGCCTTGTAGTTAGCAGCCCAGTGTTTTACCCACTTTGCCACCGGGTCTCCATGGGAAGGGTTAGAGATAAGTAATCATCATCTTCAAAAGCAGAAGAACCTACATGGGGGAAATGTCAAGAAACAATAGCTTCACATCTTAATAGTCTTATTTAATAAAGGTGTCTATACATTTTTGTAGCAATACTTTTCTACTTACCCTGATACAGTATGTGAAATTCCTTGTATGTGAGATTAAAGTCAGCAATTCTGCTTATGAGAAAGCTACAAATACTAATGGCAAGGAGTAAAAAATATATTGATTCTAACCACCATTGACTGTCTCCAGAAATTCTATTCTAACTTGTTTTTTATATTTTAATACTTGTTAATTTATTAAACACTCCTTCTGACTTTCCATGTTATTATATGACATTGTTTTTTATTTCCTAGTCATTCCAGAAACAAATTTTGAATGACTGCTCTCGGGTAATTTTCTAGGCACAAAGAAAAAGAGAACAAAAGATGCTGCCGTTGAGTTGTACAAAGGTTCTCTCCGAGTCAGAGCCGACCTGACAGCTACAGCACCGAACAACAGCGCGCACTTGGCACTTACAGAACAGCACGCAAGGGACGCTATGCAAAAACGCATGCCCGGAGCAATATTTACATACACTGAGAATATAGGAACCCAGTGGTTCATTCTGAACACAATTCTTACTATTAAAGTTCAAAGTGATAACTGACAAGCTTTGTCTGGATAATAGTGAAAATAAATCACATAGCAGAGTTTATGCTGGACTGACTGCCATACTTACAGAGGAGCATTTTGCCAGCTGTTTAAAATACGAAACATTCAAAAATTCTTAAATCTTTCACTTAGAAGCAGGAGCCCTTTTAAAGGAGTACAAAAAGAGATTCTACCATACTACTAGCTTTTACTAGAAGAAGAAAACAAAAACTTTAGTCTTCTCAATTCAGATATGTAAAACACTACAAGTCACGTAAAATTAATACCAACTATTATGTCATTGACATATAGCTCATTTTTTTAAAGTTCCAGAAACTGTAAATATTGATTTAAAAGCAAACAAAAAAATATCGATAATATCGATAAACATAGTAACATATAATTAGTAAATTTAATGGTAAGGAAATATCTGTGCACCTTTTTAAAACGAAATATATTACAGTTTGCATAGATCTCTGGTTTGTTTTTTATTTTCCAATAAAGATTTGTAAGTTAAAAATAGCTTTGAATAAATTCCAAAAGGCTTTTAAAATTATAATCCTAGAAGTAGTACTAATATACAATGTGCCTTATTATAGTAGAGGTGGTGGCATAAATTAACATACTCTCTAAAAAATCAGAATGATAAATTACTAATATGTGACAGTATCTTCCCTATAGATTAAGATTAATTCAACTCCAAATCCAAGCTCACTGCCATGAAGTGAATTCTGACTCATAGTGATCCTATAGGAGAGGGTAAAATGCAGACCATAACTCTTTACAAGAGTGGAAAGCCTCAGGTGTCATCACTGGAGCAGCTGGTGGTTTTGAACTGCTGACCTTGCTGTTAACAGCCCAATACATAAAACAACTACACCACCAGGGCTCTTTGATTCATTTCAATCAAATCCCAAATTACAAGGACAAGATTTTAAATAGGTAATTATTTACCCTTAATTTCATTTTTAAAGGTAAGCAAGAGAAAAAACAAGAATTTCACATTTGCAAGTGGTGAGGGCAGTGGGGGTGGACAGAAAATGAGAGAGACGGAGAGTCTGTCGTGTAAAGATGAGTTAGGATGGGTGACAAGAACACAAAACCTATCTCAAAAGTACTAATAGTAATGCATGTAGATTTGGACTTACAATGTTTTATTTGGAAAACTAGTAATATATAATCAGCTCAAAGTTATTTTTATATGTCACTTAAATTAAAATGTATTACTACTGTCATTTAACTTATTCTTTAAAAAATTATCTGAATTAGTATTTTTCCATTTTTTGCTTAACTTAAGTAATCCATGAATATTTCCTTTCCTGATCCTAGTATGATTTAAAGATAGTAATTCCCACCCTCCAATATCTCTTGATATAGAAATAAGTACGTAAAAACACGGGGTTAGTCAATGAAAAGTTTCGATTGCCAATACTTAGATTTAAGTTCAATCATTTTATTTTAATATGAAATGCTTAAAAAGTGTCATTTTTTCCCCCTTTACAAAGTAAATGAATCCTACGTCTGCTTTGCACCCGTGTGCCAGATACAATGGTTCATCTTGACCTTTAAGGAAACTGTCCCAACATGTAACAGTAAGGGGCCATATCCAGCACAGCATGTTATGTTGTGACGGATGGTATTCGATACAAGACTGAACAGGGACAAAATAAAAAGGGGTCTCAATCTAATGCAGCCAAACGAGCTATTGATAAACTTCTACAATTGGATGAACCTGAACCAGGAGGAGTTGTAGCAACATCAGGCCCGCCTCCTATTCCTGCAGAAACTGTCCTTTCACCTGAACCAGCATTTGTTTCAAAATACATTGGGGCTCCTAGAAGAGGACTGACTAGATCACTGAACCTTATTCTCCATTGCTTGAAAACTTTTCATACTTATTGCTAAATTGCTTCCCAGTAGAATTTTACCATACAAAAGATTTCTATCACCTGCGTGAGATATGCCTTTTAGTGTACCTTTGTCAGTTTTTTAAAACTAATCTAAGATTGCAGGAAATGTCAAAATTTTTCACTGAGAAATTTCATATTAAGTGAATGTTCATGCTTGACTATTATTTCTCAGAGAATGTATTAATTCTTATTGGCCTTTATTAGTAATCTTCAATAAATGTACTGCAGTTAGGGAAAAAAGAAAGAGAAAAATCTGGTGCTACAGGCAGTTTTGTGACGGTACATTCCCTGACCATTTGTTCTATTCGCTCCTTTTGTTTTCCATGTGTATTATCAAAATCAGAAAAAACTTATCTGTGTAAATACTGCCAAAATAAAATATTGTATCTCATCATGAGTATTATCAACAAAAGAATTTAATTTTTCTTTATCTGAGTGCACTTTAGTGATTTGTTTATCATAAGCAAAATCTAGACGACTGTATTACAAATACATTTAATTATATTTTATACTCTTAACCTCACCACATTTTGTAATTGAAATATATTTAGTCTGGCAATATGCCAAACGTCTTAACAAGCACTTAGCAGAACAGAGCGCCACTTACTGGCTTTTAGTTATTAGTCACATGAATACTTAAAAGAGAAACAAGATAACAATATCATTCAGGGATTGGTAGTAAATTTTAATAGACTCATACTACTGTAGGAAAACAAGAATATAGCAATCCAATCCCTCCACTGCACATTCTAATAGCAAATTACACTAGAATTACCTTTTAGTACTAAACCTTAGCATCAGAAAACATACTTAGGAATCAAGGGAAATACATATAAATTAATACAATTTTCAAAAGTAACAACCATAAAGTAGACATTTTTAAAGAGATTAAACTTGAAAATATAATGCATAACCCAAAATTTACTTTAAAATTCTATTTTTTCAATTTTTTTACCTACTAGCTTTAAAAAACAACAGTATAGAATCAGAATAAAAATAAATGAGCTTTAAAAACCAAACTAAGCACATTTTTAAATTATTCCTAAAAACATAGTAAATTAACTATTTCCAAACTGACCTTTCAAACTGGTATTTTTTTATCAGCTAACAACTAGATAAAATTATCTTACTTTCAAAGACATGGTAATTAATCAAGGATGATATATTTACCTTGGTTTGGCTGCATGTTCATATTGGGTCTGGGGCCGTAATTTCCCATCGGTTGTCCTTGACTCATGGTCATCTGATTCTGTACCGGCATACTCTGTGATGATGGCACGGAATGGTTATAACCTCCCATGGAGCCATGGCTACTTGAAGGCATGTTCATGGAACTATTTGTCATATTGAGTTGGTTGGGTCCAGGTCCCTGCATAGGCATATGGTTAGGCCCTTTGAAGAAAAATGATCAGAAGCAAAACATGAAAGTTAAGTAGAGTATACCTAAGGAAGCTTTCTATTTTTGGCATTACTGTCATAATAATAGAAATCTGACAATATCAAAAGTATTCAATCAGTAGCAGACAAAATAAATGCTTTACATGGGTGACACCAAACCTCTGAGAAAGCTGCATTTATAATTCCACTTTACAGATTAAGAAACGTATGCTGAAAAACCAGGACCATTCTGAAAAAGAAGAGTAATAAAGGAGGACCGGTTTTATGAGATAGTAAAGCGTCGCAGCACTGGAATAAGTAAGTGTAGTACAAGCACTCAAATAAAGCAACTAACACATCAACAGACCAGACAGTCTAGAAAAACAGACCCAGATGCATAATTTAATAGATAGTAACAATGTGCAAAAGAAAAATGGGCTCTACTGGATTTAGTTCAAATCCACCAGTCACTCCACTGGCTAAAAGATGTGACAGTCCGCTCTGATAACGCTCCGAAGCAGTCCCAAAAACCTATGAAACCATTATTTAGACTGTGTCCTATACGGTCATTGTGAGTTGTTATCTACTTGATGGCAGTGGGTTTGGTTTGGGACAAAAGAAAGAATTCAATAAATACTAACAATTGGGGGGGCGGGGGAACTAGATTGATTTATCTTATTCTTTCTAATAAAATTAATTTCAGATGGATAAAATACGCAATTCTAAAAAAATGAGAAACTATAAGAGTACTACAATCTATGAGAGAAATGTTTAATAATCTTAGAAATCCTTCACTAAATACAGTATACTCAAAAATTAGGCAAAATAAACATTTTAAATGTATACATGAGCAAAATCATATCAAAATTAATTAGGGGGGGATCTTTTATAAGACATTGACCCAATACCATGAAGTCAATTTCAACTCGGTGACCCTATGTAGGGTTTTCCTTGCTTGGTAAATCTTTACAGGAGCACACAGTCTCATATTTCACTCATGGAGCAGCTGGTGGGCTTAATCTGCTGACCTTGAAGTTAGCATCCCAATGCCTACCCAAGAGCACCACCAGGCCTCCTTAGCAGACATAGTTCAGCAGACTGAACTAAATACTTAAAGTAGAAAGTATATCTAATGGTCAAACTGTGAAACACCTCATGATATAAATGGACTTGAAGACCATCATGCTGAGTGAAGTTACCATATATACTCATGTATAAGCCAAGGTTTCTCAGCACTTTTTTAAAAAAATCATTTTATTGGGGGCTCGTACAACTTTTATCACAATCCATACATACATACATCCATTGTGTCAAGCACATTTGTACATTTGTTGCCCTCATCATAGAATACATCTATTTTTTTCGAGCACATTTGTATATTTATTGCCCTCATCATTCTCAAAACATTTGCTTTCTACTTGAGCCCTTGGTATCAGCTCATTTTTCCCCTCCCTCCCCACACCCCTCCCTCATGAACCCTTGACAATTTATAAATTATTATTATTTTGTCATATCTTTCACTGTCTGACGTCTCCCTTCTGTCATATCTTACACTGTCTGACGTCTCCCATGTTCTGTTGTCTGTCCCCCAGGAAGGGGGTTATATGCAGATCCCTGTAATTGGTTCCTCCTTTCTACCCCCACCCTCCCTCCACCCTCCAGGTATCCCCATTCTCAGCACTGGTCCTGACCAGTTCATCTGTCCTGGACTCCCTGTGTTTCTAGTTCCATCTGTACCAGTGTACATCCTCCGGTCTAGCCGGATTTGTAAGGCAGAACTGGGATCATGATAAGTGTGGTGGGGAGGAAACATTTAAGAACTAAAGGAAAGTTGTATGTTTCATCGTTGCTACACTGCACCCTGACAGGTTTGTCTCCTCCCCAAGACTCTTCTATAAGGGGATGTCCAGTTGCCTACAGATGGGTTTTGGGTGCTCACTCCACACTCCCCCTCATTCACAATGATTTGATTTTTTGCTCTTTTATGCCTGATACCTGATCCCTTTGACACCTCATGATCACACAGGCTGGTGTGCTTCTTCCATGTGGGCTTTGTTGCTTCTGAGCTAGCTGGCCGCTTGTTTACCTTCAAACCTTTAAGACCCCAGACACTGTATCTTTTGATAGCTGGGCACCATCAGCTTTCTTCACCACATTTGCACCCATTTGTCTTCAGCGATCGTGTCGGGAAGGTGAGCATCATGGAACTTTCAGCACATTTTTAATGCAGTTTTTATGGTAAAATTAGGTGCCTTGGCTGGTATTTGGGTCAGTTATACTCAAGTACATACAGTAGTCATCCAGAACAGGGCAAATATTGTATGAGATCATGGTTATCAAATAAAAAAATCAAAGTAAAGGTTTTCATACCAAAAGAGATTCTTAAAAATACTCACACACACAAAAAAAGAGACTTTGATGGTTACCAGACGTAAGGGGGAAAGGGCAGGAAGGAGAAGTAATGGGCTAGAGGTAGAAAAGGAAGGTAACATTTTATAAGAGGGAGAAGAGAGGAAAAAAGGTGGAGGAACTGGACTAGCTATTGAGAATTTTGATAAATTGTTGAATAGAGAACTGTAAACCACCACCTAATTAACAATAAAAAGTTAAATAAAAAACTATACATTCACACACACACACACCAGCAGTAAAAGAATGAAGGACATGAAAACTGCAAAAGGGTTAAAAGGTTCATAAACATACATGAAGATGGACTGCATCACTTACAACAAAAGGAAAATTCAAATTATGAAGCCATCTTTTCATTTCTCAGCTTTGCAGAGATCAAAAGTTTTGATCCATGTAAAAAAGACCCAAAAAGGCCAAGTTTACTAGTCAGATAGATTCCTGGAACCTCAAGACTCTGTCCCTTAGTCACCCTTCGGATTTGGAACTCAACTCTCCCCCATGGATCAATGTTCAGTCAAACCACAGACATATCAGTCAAAGCAAACGGTAACACGGGGAGGTATATGTAGCTTTGAATAATCGGCCATTTTAGATCAAAAGGTTTTACGCAAAGATAAAATTCAAATGGGTTACGAAATAAGGAAGAATGAAAACAGGAAACAGGAAGTAGAGTAAGTGATGTTTCACTGTGGAGAATACAAAGACATGAAACAAGATGTGTGTGAATAGTTGAATGGAAAACTGATTTGTTCTGTAAACCTTCACTCAATTCATAATTAAAAGTTGTAAATTAAATGTCCAAAAAAGAAAGAGAGCGAACTTGGATTCAACCATATTCTAACAAAATGCACTCTGACACATTCAGGGGATATAAATGTAAATACCAATAAAATTTTTGAAAGGATACACCTTTGATACAGGAATTTTGGTTAGAGGAATTTATCCTACAGATATACAAGTTTATGTTTATGTGTGAATGTATATTTGTATATGTGTATATAAACATACAGCACACACAAATTATAGACATATATCCCAGTATATATAAATGTACATAGCAAGACTTAACACAACCTATGCTTCCACCAAACCACTCAATTAAATTAGAGCACACCTGCAAAAAATGTGTCAACCCCCTCCTCCCCCAAAAAAGGAATGACTGTAAAATACAACCTTAAGAGGCAAAAAAGATACATGGAGTATTTAATGTCTACTACAATTTGTGGTGAAATGAAAAAATATACATATATTTATATGCTTTTAAATATAGAAAATATTTATATGAACTAGAAGCCAATGCCCCTCAAGTATCTGCAGTACCACGTGCATGTATTATTTGGTTCTGAAAAATCAATAAACTGCTTTGAAGAGGCATTAAGACTGCAAGATTTGTCCAAAATCAAATAGCATTTATATCTCTGCCACTTAAGATTACAAAGTGGGATACTTCAAAAACTAAAATAGGAGACTAGATGCAAATCTGTACGTATAAAAAATGTCTTGAGAAATGCTATATGGAAAAGAAATTAGGTTACTCTCCAACTTTTGGAAACTGTATAGTATTCTACACAAGTTAGGTTATAAATGGTGGTTAGTTTCTGGCTTCTAAAAGAATGGAACATTTTAGATGACTTTCCATAAAAAGCAAAACATTATCAATCACTATAGCTACTCAACTGCCTACTGAGTCTTAGATTCAAGTACATGGAGACGTCCAAATCCTAGTTAAAGGTACTACCATCAAAGTCTCCCAACATCTTCTAACAAACATGCCCTGATGAGGTAATCGTGGATTCAGCAAGCAGCTTTCTCCTGACTAGAGCCTGAAAAGTACTTATGGCTTTATTCCATGTTGGATATGAGTCATGAATGTTGAAAGACTTAGCAAGAAATAGAAAATAACCAAGACCCCACTTCCGTCTTCTGTAAACCCAGCTGCCATGCATCTCAGCCAGAGACTGCTCTTTGCTTCTCTCTGCATGTCCGTCATTCCTGAAGACCAAAGTTACCAAATCAACAATATCAGCTAGAGAAGACACTAGCATTAAAATTGTTAACTACTAATCTTGAAAATAAATTCTTTTGTTTTTTTAAGTATTTCCCTTGTTGTTATCTATATACTCCTTCCTTCTTAACAAACAAACTTTGCCTTTGGAAAGTATTCTCATATTTAATGTAGTGAATATGCTGCACTAACAATCAAGGACATGTGTAGGTTGTTGCTGTTGCTACAAAAACAAAAGTTTAACTCTATTTTTCAGATTAAAAATTCACACCAGTAAAAGGTAACTAAATAGGCATTCAATAGTCTGAAAGATATCCTAACGGCTCTAAACCTAGGATGGATAACTGGCAAAAGGAGTGACTCATCCTCCTATCAGAAAGTACACAGTATTTTTCGGGTTTTAATCTTACCTAGGATCAATTTTGTACTTGTTATGATATACAAATACATATTCATAAAAATCTATATTTAGCTTCAATTATATCAATGAGGAAATACTAAATACATTATCACTTTAGAGAATGGTTTGTTTGGTTTCTTCATATATTTTTTCCCAGTGATACCTTTTATGAGATCAATAAATGTTTCAGTAAATAACAAAACTAAGGGAAATGTTGTAATACCTTTTCATGAACAGATTTGAAATCTTAAGACATGGTACTATGCTTTTCTCCAAAAACCTTCTAAAGCCAGCTGTACTACATAGTTTCAGACAGACTAAATTTAGCCAGTTCTGTTCATCAGAGGAATGCTGTGTGTCAGCTACATCAAAGCCCAAGGGCAGCCTGATAAACACTGAATACAGGTCACGTAGCTCTGTAGCTAACAAACTCTAAGAGAGCTTGTACTCGGGGGCATTCAAAGCAGTTTTGTCATCAACAATCTAGTATCCCTTGAGCCCCCATGTCGTTTCAGTTGCTAAGCAACTCTGGTGTTAATGTCTTAGAGGAGAAAAACTTACCAGGCATCTGGCCGTTCATCTGGTTCTGCATGTGTGGTGCAGGAGGACCCCCACCTACAATTCCATCTGAAGACATGTTGTGAGAGCGAGGAGGTGGGGGAGGGCCGCTCTGATTCATCCCTCCAAGACCCATAGGCATATTCTGTGTGGGTGGCTGAAAGGAAACAGTTTAATAAAACAAGAGAAATAGACTAATACTTTAAAGATGCATAAGTATAACAGTTGCCTATATTATTAAATTGGATAGGAACAAAAACACAAATGAATTTCAACATATTCTAATACACTTTAATCATGAACTTAGCATCATTATTTAATATCCTGGACACTTCACACGATGGGTAACATGAACATGGCCTCAAAGTACCTCAGACAGACCAAAAGAATACCATAATCACAGCACATTTTACTTTATACACTCAAGAGTGAAAATAATATTCTTAATATCCTGTGCAAAAGAAATTTTAATTTATTTGAATATTAAAGTCTTAATAAACCTATTTTGTTATTATAATTAGTTTAACATTTTTAATTTAAATTAACATATGCCAATATGTTTTTACTAGTGATGGATTCTACTTAAAAGGAACAATAATAAAAACAATAAAAGAAAAAATAAAGCAAAATAAAAGATTTCAGTAGTCTTAAAATATATATTCCATATTGTTTGAAGGGGAAAAAACTGGTGGTGGCAGAGAAGTGCTTTCAAACATGAAGACCCAGCTCAAGCTCAGTATAACAATTTTGTGCCGAATATTCCTATAGATTGGAAACATTACTGATGGCCTCCAAGGGTGCAGAGACAGCTGCCTCAAAAGGATGCCTTTGGCAAATTTCCTAATGAAATTGTGAAGAAAATAACTGCCTAACCTTGAGAGTTCAAAAAAGGGCAAAAGGAAAAAAAACAGATACAAGGTGGTCTGTTTTCTTCTTGGGAGATCTTTTGTTAGAAAAAGCAAATGGTTGTTTCTTTCCAAAGCCCCATGTTTAAACCTGCAAGAGGACATCTATTTCTGCCTTCTTCTCTATGCTCTGAACATAATATACACTATTAATTTTAGATTGTATTTTAGATAGTTATTTATATCTGTACCTTTCCAGATCTGCAAATACAATTCCTTCTGGTACACTTAACATACGTCCATTGCGTACAGCCATCACATGTAAATACTTAAACATCTCATAGCACTAATAGAAATAACTGTGGTATTTGCAGAAATAACCAAGTAATACCCTCGAATAGCAAAGGGTCCTGACACCACAGGGGTTGAACCATTCAGCTGCCAATCAAAAGGCTGGTTCAAACCCACCGGCTGCACCATGGGAGGGAGATGTGGCAGTCTGCTCCCATGAAAAGCACAGCCTAGAAATCTGAGATAGTCCGACTCCACATTACAGGGTTACCAGGAATGGGTCTGCTTAGGATATTCTGATGGTCCCCATTTCAAGTCCAGAAACTTCATTTCTTCACTAATTAAATCCGACACAATAACTTTACTAAATGTTTTCTCAAAAATAAGTATTAACACTTCGATTCTCATCTGAAATTCTTTACCCAACTTGTACTCTTTACATAGCTTAATAACCTTGTTCAGTTTAAAAACATCAAATCAACTAGTGTCTTACTTTAAATTTTCCTTGCTTCATATCATCCTATAAACCTGGCTGACCTTGATAAGTCTGTTTCAAAATGAAAATCTTCCCCCTAAAATCTAGTCCAAATATTCTCTCTTTTGGACAATTTGAAACCCCATATTCTCATTCCTAACAGGTATCAGTCTTTCTTTTATTTTTTAACTCAATTTATAAAATACCATAATCCACAGTTCCCAGGTTGTGGTAAGAGCAGTTTGTATAAAACAAAATCGCCGGCTAATAAAAATTATAAAATGGAGATAAAATATATATTAAACTGTTTAAAGGTATTAAACAGCAACTAAAACTGGCAAGAGGGGAACTACAATTCTTGAAAGAAGGGCTGTTTCTAAGATCAGCTCCACAATTACCTTGGCTTTTCTTATTTCTTCTGCTTTGTAAGAGAGGAAGAAAGCAGCTATCCTACTAGACTACGGGGAAAAGAAGTCCATCTGGGGCTGCTAGAATTGGAAATTCCAAAGAGGAAAGTCACTAAGAAAAGGATATGAAGATCAGGAGGCTAATGAAATGAAGGGTTCAGATGCTCCCTTGTGCAGGGGAGACAAATAGAGGAATACAGAGCCAAACTTAGATTTCTTCAATGAACAATTTAAAGAGAAGACTAAGGGCAAAATTGAAAGAGTTCAGCCCTACTACAGTATAATTTATAAATCAACCCCCAACAACAGTTTCAAGATCATCTCCTGGAACTAATTTGCCTACCAAATGATAAACTTAATCTTTCTTCAAGGAAAAAAAACACCAACAAGAGACTTGTTCATCTGCAGTTTGGCAGTTCCTCAAAGTTAAACATGGAGATAGCAACTAACCCAGCAATCCTGCTCATATTATACATGTAAGGAAAATGAAACATAGGAAAGCATGGTCATAAGAGTTCACAGGAGCACTAGTCAATAGAACCAAAAAGTTTAAACAATTCTATTTCTATCAACAATGACGAAAAGGATATGCAAAATGTAGTATAGAGCTATATACTAGATTAGTGTATCACAAAAAGAAATGAGGCGCTGATGCTGTAACACAGATGAACTAAATAAAATAAGCCTGACCAAAAAAGGCCTTATATTGTATGATCCCATTTTTAAGAAATGGCCAGAACAGACAAATCCATAAAGCCAGAAAGTAGTTGTCAAGGATGGGTAGAAGAGGAGAAACCAGACCTGACTACTAACCAGATAGTAGTGATGGTTTCACATTGCAACTATACTAAAAACCACAGATGAACCTGATTAAAATGGGGTATTTTATGTTATATAAATTTAATCTCAGCAACAAAATAATAAATGAACAGCCAAGAGAAATAACAGAAAGAAGGAAAGGTTTATAGGTTGTTAGAAAGTCAATATGTAAAAACCAATGGTATTCCTATATACTTTGAAAAAATAGAAAATCATGGGATCTGGCATCAGGCATCAAAGACCCAGAACAAAAAAATCATATCAATGTGAATGAGGGGGAGTGAGGAGTGGAGACCCAAAGCCCAACTATAAACAATTGGACATCCCTTCACAGAAGGGTGACAAGGAAGAGATGAGCCATTCAGAGAGCAGTATAGCGTAACGAAACATACAACTTACAACTTTCCTCTAGTTCTTTAATGCTTTCTCCACCCTCACCCCCCTACTATCATAACCCCAATTCTACCTTACAAATCTCGCTAGACCAGAGCATGTACACGGGTACAGAGAAGAGCTGGAAACACAGGGAATTCAGGACAGATAAACCCCTCAGGACCAATAATAAGAGTGGTGATACCAGGAGGGGAAGGGGAAGGTGGGGGAAGAAAGGGGGAACCATCACAATGATCTACATGCAACCCTCACAAGGGGGCAGACAACAGAAAAGTGAGTAAAGGGAAACAACAGTCAGTGTAAGACATGACAAAATAATAATTTATAAATTATCAAGGGTTCATGAGGGAGTGAGAGTGGGGGGAGGGGATGAGGAGCAAACACCAAGGGCTCAAGTAGATAGAAAGAAAATGTTTTGAAAATGATGACGGCAACAAATGTACAAGTGTGCTTGACACGATGGATGTGTGGACTGTGATAAGAGCTGTACAAGTCCACAATAACAATTTTTAAAAATTGAAAATCAGATTTAAGGATCAAAAGCACTAATAATACCATCAAAAGTAACAGATAGCTACAAATATATATAACAAAAAATGTATAAACCTCTACGCTGAAATACTGATCAGAGAAAGAATTTGACTAAACGTAAAAGATCTATCTTGTCATCAAATGGACAATTCCATATTATGAAATTGTCATTTCCTTCATGCTGATTAGAGATTCCATGAAATCCTGTAACAAAATCACAACAGGATTTTTGCAAAAATTCACAAACTGATTCTAAAATTTATATGGAAATGAAAACGACTAAGAATAGCAAGGACAATCTTTAAGAACACTCAGATATATTTACTTTAAAGCAACAATAACTAGGGCATGTGGTTAATGCCAAACACAGACAAATATATCTATGGCACAGAATACATTTGTGAAACAGATCTACAAAAACATTCAACTTACAGTAAAACAATTGATATTCAAAGAGGAAAGGAAAACCTATCAAATAAATGGTGCTGGGTCAACTGCATGTCATATATTTTTAAAATCCCAGCTGAAATCCTCCCCAAAATTAATTTGTGATAGAACAGGGAAATAAATTTCTAGAAAAAAGACACAAGCTAATGTCTTTATCACACTGTGATAGGAAAATATCTCCTATCCCAGATACCGAAAGAATTGCATACAGTAGGAAAAACACTTGATAAATTAAGGACTGTGGGAAAAAAAAAAATTAAGGACTGTGTTCATCCAATGGCACTATTAATAAAAACCAATTTTCAAATTAGGAAAATGTACTTGAAATATGCACACACCCACAGACGAGTATATGTGTGTGTGTATATATAACATATAATATATATAACATATTTTATATATACACACACATACATATACTCTTCTATGTCCTCAAATTACTGTCCTTTCATGTCCCTATTCATTCATGGAAACAAAAAGAAGTAACACAGAATGAGGTTAGGTGAGTCAAGTGTGTGGGGCAAGAGAGGGATATGTTTTTTTGCCAAAAACTGGCACACTGAGATGGCTGCATGAGTAGGTACACTGTTGTGGTGGCAAAAGTAGTCCCCCGCCTTCCACAAATCAGGTCTTTTGTGGCAAACACCTTTACACTATCTTTTCAGAACCTCTAAACCAGTGGTTCTCAACCTTTGGGTTGTATCCCCTTTGGGGGTCAAACAACCCTTTCACAGGGGTTGCCCGATTCATAACAGTAGCAAAATTATGAAGTAACAGCAAAAATAATTTTATGATTGGGGGGTCACCACAATATGAGAACTGTATTAAGGGGTTGTGGCATTAGGAAAGTTGAGAACCAAGGCTCTAAATAGAAAGCTTGATTAACAGACTGACCTGGTGGAAAGAACTCCAAATGCACTGTGAGTTGACATTTTTTTGTCGGTTCAGG